TGTTTAAATTTAAATAAAAAAAATATATATAACAATTTTAAAATATTAAGATTGGTGGGTGGACTACGGCAAGTTACTTCAACAAATGCCCCACTACAGGCTTTGTTGCTTCAACCAAATTTCCGCGAAAATTTAACCAAATTTTTCTCTCAAGAAGTGAGCTAAAATATTAAATTAAAAGTAAGCACATTTTTGCAATTTTTGTTTTAGAAGAGTACTAAAAAAACAAATTTTTTCTTGAAGAATTTTAAAAGAATCGAAATTATCAAAAATATGAAATAGTTTCTTAGATCGGGGATCTTCATACTGCTTAGTAAATAAAGTTAATTTGATTCTTAGTAGACGACAGAAATCCACCTTCCGGAATTATAATATAATTAAATTTATAATATAATTAAATATTATTTACATTGTTCATTAAAAACTTGTCAGTTAGTTTCACTGATAAACAAAACACAAATTTTAAATTTTATGAAATACCTTTAGGTGTTTATTTAGAAATTCGATTAGAAAGTTCAGTTCTCTACCCAGTGGTAGGTCCGAAAAATAATTCCGAAAAATTTGCTTCATTAATTGTATATATGTGTGCCTGAAAAACTCTAATAATTCAAAAATTGCAGGCTTGAATATTATATTTTATCGTAAATAAAAATCAAAGTTATAAAATAGGAAAAAAGCAGGTGGCCAGACATGTTCGAGCGAATATTCATGGAAAGTGGAAACATAACGATTTTTTTTGTAGAAGATTGTAACGGTTGCAAAAAGGAAGCAGATATTTTCAGGATATATCAGGTATTGCCCTTAATTATTCTTATGATTGTTTATTAAATATATTTTAAGTCAAAAATGCAATTATGTATGTGATAAAAGTTTAAAATCGCTTCCAATCATAAAGTGTTATTTCTTGTTAATTTTTATTTTCACCAATTTCATTTTAATGGAAAAAGGCAACAAAATACAAATGATTGACAAGATATCACTTTTTTTATTTGGTATTTTTATTTGTAAATAGGTGCCAAATTTATGTCACCACTTTGAGTAATAAAGTGATAAATTTCGAATTGAATGAAATTAAATTCTAAAAATGAAAAAAAAAATAACAGAACGCCGCAATGTTTTCTATTTAAAAAATGTTAGATATCATTTTTTTAACTTAATTTTTTTTTGTTAGTCTTCAAATGAAATTTTTGGCGCCGCCTCCTTCTTTTAAGGTGTGCGAATAATTTCAAAGGAAATAATAAAGAAAAATCTTTTAAGTAAAATTATTTTTGACTAACACTTTGGAAATTTAAAATATTTATGCTTTTTCGAATGAATAATTTCCGGAATATTTGAAATTATTTTAGTAAAATATAATGTAGGATTTTCCAGAAAGGAAAATGGTGGGATCTCTAAACAATGAATTGTTCTTTTATAGAGCTACTTGCATCTATGATTTGATTTCAGAAATAACTTTTGGTTTGTCACATCCTTGTTGACACACTGAAATTTTTGTTTTATTATACATCATTGGAAGTCTGTTGTTTTACGTTATTAAGTGGATTATTAATATTAGAGTTTAGGAAATTTTTAGACTTATAAGACTTTCATCAGTCCGGTTGAGTTCATCTTGGCAAATCTTACTTAGATCTGAAAATGTAGTGCGTTTTGGTAACAGCACTACAAAAAGTAGATCGTTTTCGTGTAAAGAACTTTGAAAGATCTATACTCTCATATTGTTAGCATTAAAATAAATGCTGCCAGTAATCAGAAACTGACATAATCTAAAAACACAATTGAAAAGCTAAAATTATAAAGTGAAGATGGAGGAAACAATGTTAGTTAATATTTTAAATATTTTAGTTTAATTATCGTTTATGCAGGACTGTCAACTGTTTTTAAAAATACTGCTAATTTCTTAAGTTTTTTAATTTTCTGCTTTAGAATAGTGTTGACAGAAACAGAACTAAGTTTTAAGTTTTGCCAACATGAACTTCAGCACTAATTTCATTTTTAACAAACCAGACTTTGCAAAGCAGTAGTTTCCTGCAATTTCTGTGGTCTACTTGATTGTGTAAGTACATTGCGCATGAAAGGCAGTGTTTAAGGGATCATTTTAAGCAGATTCGAATAAATCTGGTCGTTTTTATATCTTAAAACTGAATTTAAACATTTATTTGCTTGTAAGTTAGAAGCGAATGTTTGAGTGACGAGAAAAAAGAATTTTTACGTGATAAGGAAAAAACAATTACGGATACAAGGATAACATTTTTCGTTGGAAATTCATTCATGAGGGCTTTAAAAGTAAGTTTCTCAATAAGTTAACAAATATTGGTATTTGCATAATAGCTTTTCAATAAAAACAAAATTTTTTGTTTTACTTAATAATCGCGTTATTCATCTACTTTTTTCTCCCCCACTTTTATTTTTAACGACCTCAAATCCAAAAACAAAAAAAAGTTAAAATAAATCAAACAAATTTTTTTTTTCATAAAAACTTACGTGTGCATACTTTCTAAGTACTCGTATTGCACGTCAATTTTCAATTTGAATTTTAAATCGTTTTAGTTTTGGATTTTTCTAAAACTATCAAAATAAAATTGCAAAGTATGTATGTACATATGTAGATATATAAAAGATAATAAAAAAATCATTTTTGTTTGAAAGCACGAAATTTTTAATAGTTGCGATTTGCATACATGCTTACATCAATTGCATTTTACAAGAAGAGTTGCATTTGTTTTTATCAAAAAAATGACAAAGTAAAATCAAAAGAAAACAAAGTGTCAAGTAATTAGGACAAAAAACTATTAAGATTTGTCAGTCATGCAAATTTTTTTTTTATTTTTTTAATTTCGGAAAAATTGAATTTTTGTTTGCAACAATTTTGTGTAGTTGTACAGCCATTGAACACTTTTATTCATATATGTACATATATACGTTAATATTATTCTGTCATAAAATATGAATGAATTTAGTGAAGATATCACAGAAGATAGAGTTTTTATAGAAATTCAGGCAGCATTCAGCGTAAGCACAGATTTCTTAATTAAATTTAGGAAATGTGTCCTTGCAATATGGAACTTAAGCATTATTAAAATTTGGTAAATGCAATCTTGAAAAAAAAGTCGTTTAATTGCTTTAACTATGTTAAAAAAAATCTCTGGAGTCTCTTTTAAAGAAGTCCGAAAATTGCATTTTGTTGACCCCCTGGCAAATGTAGAGAGAAAGTAATTGATTTTTTCTACCGCCAATCGATGGAAATAAATTTTTGTTTGACAAAATGAATGTTGAAATTAATCGTCTTCTTAAGTTAGTTTTTGAGTAACTCTTACAAGCTGAATAAGTTAAATTTTAATAATTTCAAAGGTTGAGAAGAAATACGAGTATCTATATACCAATGTACATATGTATTTTTAATTTATTAAACTATGTAGAAATATAATTTCATTTAATTGTCACGATTTGAAAGAAAAATTTCGAAAATTTAATTTTTTGGAAATCCAGAAATTTTAAAATTGTTTGCATGTAACTAATTTTAATGTTCTGCCGAATTATTCAAATAGCAAATGTGGTAAATATAAATGAGAAGCGTTAGAGAAAACATTGCGAAATGGAAAATGCGAAATTACCGGTAAAAAGATTTGAATTACCTAATTTTTGTATAACTCAAGTTCCAATGATTTACTACTTAACTTTCTTCAACCATTTTAACCATTATTATTCAACCCCTGAGCACGTTTAATCATTATAGTGCAACCGGGTTGTGTTACCCTGGTTTTAGAACAAGTATAAATTTGTAAACTTTATATGTATAGGTATTTTAATTTAAAACTGGCACCTTTGTATGATTTATTAATAAGAAACAGGTTTTAAACGGAAGTTGTACAATACCAAGAAGATATCACTTTAAGCAAAATTTGGCTCTGATGAATTATATAAATGCACATTTTTACCTACAATTAATCGCAATTGAGAAGCGCTAAAGATGTTAGTAGTTATTTTAAAATGTACCCATTATATGTACGTATATTTATGTACATATGTATATATAACAAAATCTAGGAATATAATTGAACTAATTCTTCCGAATCGATTTAAGAGTATATGACATAATCTGAAATCAAAATAAAGAAGAATTGTTTAATAGAATTTTATATGGGCTTTGCTAATCTAAATTGGGTATTCAGAATAATAAAAATCTACATCAACCTCATAAAAGAATCTCAAATTACAAAAATATTTTGCATATAATGTCTATGCAAATATTTACACACAATGCGTTTACAGTTTACAAATGTATTAAAAAATGAAATTCGCATTAAAATAATTTTCAAGTAGAAAAAACGATTATTAGTATTAAAGCAAGCCTTATAAATTTTTTAAAACTTAAAAGTATAAAAAAAATTTAATTTAAGTTCAAATTAAGTTTTATAAATGTCACTTAATTTCATAACTTTATAAAATTCTTAAGAAACAAACTTGAATACTTAATATGAAGAACATTTTTTACGAATTGTCAAAATAAAAGGTGTCACACCTACAAATAAATCTGAAATTGTGAGCAATTGAAAGGAACGAGCTTTTGCACTTGGAAAATTTGAATATCGTCGAACAGAACGTTTTTAAATATTTTGATGAAGCAAACAGTTATTCGGAAATTTTCAATATTTAAATTTATTAATTAGTTGTTTACTCCTGTTAACCAGGATTCCTATGTAAACTAGTTTCTAGCTTGGTATTCTGTTAAATGGAACGCACAACAATTTACTAGTTGCTGTTTGACTAGTTATTATTAAACGTAAAGCAATGACAGTTATTTTACCAACTATAATATACGGGATTAATATTGTTCGTTAAACTAAGAAGATTTTTGAAGCGACATTTCAAATACCAAAAATTTTGAATCTGGCAATAACAACAAAATCTAATCAAAAAATTTTAAAATGGTTCAATTCAAAATTTTATATAAATGCATTCAATAAAATTATTTTCGCAGTACATTATATAAACATACCCACCTACACATACATTTTTGAGCTATTGTATTAGTATATATCAGACGTCGCATTACGCTTATTATTATGTAAAAATGTACATCATGTACTGTGTGCACATCATTTGTATACATTGTACATGGGATGGCATAGGTGAAGGGCATTTGTATTTTAAAATTTGTTAAAATGTGTAAATTATGAGGTTTACTCATACATTTTAAAACTGTTTCTCCATCTGCTTAAAAACCTTTTAATATAACAGCTGTTAGCAGATTGTCATTGCTTATAGCTGTTAGCAGATTATTACTTTGCCTATTTTGCTATGATCACTAAAGGATTTCAGAAAGCAATAAATTAAGGAATTTTGAGTAATATTAAAATGAATTCGCAAACATTTTTTCTTATGTACTAAATGACGCGGTACTTCTAAAATTTCGCAATGTCATTGTTTTTTTTTCCTATAGTAACCCTTGGGAAAACGATTATGCTTTTGATCCCTTCTGGAAGCACGGCTCATCTCTAAACTTAAATTTGTGTATTTTTCAGAGAACATTGTTTAGTAGGTTATTTACATCTCATTATATCTGCACGTCTTCCATAAATTACTGCTTTTCAGTATCAATCTTCATTATTGCACTACAATTATGTAAATAAAAATACGTATTGTACCTTTTTCTGTTAAAAGTCCGATAAAATTATTGATTTTTCATAGGAGCGCTTCACAAAACAAATAATTTTTAAGTAGTAATTTCAAAATACTGAGTATCCTATAATTGAATGACCAACCCAAACATTTTTGTTCAATTTTTTCTACTGAATTTTTAAATTCATTTTACTTTTTTTTCTTTTCGTTGTTTATAGGTGAATTAAATTTTTCTATGGGTATTGCACCCCGCTCATAAGCTCATTGCACATAGAATTCCATCTGATAGTTCTTTTTTTTTAGAAGTTTTGTTTGATGTCATATGCAATGCAATGGGTTACGTATTCGTGAAAGTCATTGTAAATTGTGGACTTTTGTACTTAATTTTTTTCTTTTTTTTTGATTTTACATTTTCCTCATGTATGTATTTTTGTGGTTTTTGTTTTTTTTTTTTGATAATTTGTTTCTGTAATTCTTTTGCAATTTAGATAGTACATACGTATTTGATAGCCAAAATGGATAGCGCGTTCTGTTAGTCACGTAGGCCAGATCAGAAAAACTAAAAATAGTAAAATATAAAGAAAAAAGAAAGAAAAAAACTTGTATAAAATGAAAAAAAAATTAATTTTTTTTATTAGAGTTTGATTGTTTTATATTTGAATACACACACACACACATACACCAGTATATGCACTTGAAGACACAAATGCACAAACAGCAATCATTTTTGTTTTTATCTAAGAGAACGATACTAAAATCTATCGTATTACATTTTTGTTTTGTTGTTTAATTTCTGATTTTAATTTCAATTTTGCAATCGGGATCGCGATTTTCGCGTTATCAAATTATTTTATGTTCTTTTCTCATATTTATTATTAAGTGTAATTTAGAAACAAAAAAAAAATGCAATTTAAATTTTGCCCGATCATATGTTGTTGGAGGAGAGTTGAATATTTTATTGAGTATTTGTGTACATTATAAAATTACTGTATATCAATAGATATAGAGAAAAATCTTTTATCAGGGCTGTTAAACTGAGAATTTTTGATTTTGCAGTAATGAATGTTGATGGAAGTGGGCTCACTTTAAATCAATCGCGTCTAGAAAATTTATTACAAATAAATTTTTGAACAGTTTTCCGAAAATCTATAATTTGCAAAAAATCCTTAATTTTCGCTTACACCACTGAGATAAGTGAGAACATCAATAATTGAAAAAGCAGTCTTCTAATTTTAAAATGACATGAAATGTGATTAAATTAAATTACAAATCTTAAATATTTACTCACTTTTTCGCTATTTAGTGACTCTTAGTGCATCGTCATCAGGGTATAAAATATCTAATTGAAATCAGGTCAATGTAAAATTTAGGGTACATTATTGGATCTTTTCTAAAGTTACAACATTACGAGGGTCATGTCGAAACATTTTCAACTTTCTTTTTAGATATTCATTTATTTCTTGACTAAATGACTAAGTACATAATTATTTGTAAACCTGAGTAGCTGTAAAAAGATATCGCCCGATTACAGCGTATTTTTGTGACAGGAGACCTCGGCTTTCAATATCTCCTTTTGGACGATAACAGAAAAAATTTTATAAATTCTTAATATAGAATGTCGATTTTTCTTAATATAATTATGATAGCCTTAAGTTTCAGAAAATAATAATATCGCAGTTAAACATATTTCAGGTTTTAAACGAGCTCATGACATCTGCATAATGAATAAGTTTAATCAAATCCATTTGAAACTACAAGAAAGGTTCTTTATTTATTTTTCGTAATGTCATCCTTTTTGATACTTCATAGGCACTTGAAATTTTTATCTTACAAACAAAAAGGTTTTAAAACTCTTTTACTCGTATATTGTAATTTTATAATGCAAGAAGAAAATATCTACGGAAGTTTTAATATCTTTTTAAATGACCCACTTCTAAGTATCTTTCGCATATTTCGCATACATACTTACATACATGAATTTTTTTAGATTTAAATAAAAAATAAATATTATAAACGCTATTACAAATTTGTATTTGATAATAAAATAAATTTTCATTAAAAATAAATATAATTATAATTGGTGTATATGTAAAAAAACAAATTTTACTTAATACAAAATTATTAACTGACGTACAAGGTGACGATTTACCCAACGGTGTAATTGAGTGGTGATTGAGTATTTTAATTTTTTAATTATTTTGTTGTTGTTGTTGCTAATGCAGTAAGAAGAAGTAGTCGTGTAGGATTTTTTATTAATTTACAAGAGTGCAGCTTAAAAAATATTAAAAATTATTGTAAAAATTTGCAAATAGAATTTAAAAAAAAAATTATTTCACTTGACATCATTGCACTAAATAAATGCTATGAAGTTACTAAATATTTTATTTGCATTAATTTAAAAATTTTTAAATGATTTTATGGGTGTATAAAAATTTGATTTTCAACAAAGATCATAAAAATTATTTAAACAGAGGCTCAAGTATATATTTTTACCGACCGCATTACATAATTATAATAAGGGAGGTTATATGATGGCAACAAATTTTGCATATTGGTAGGAACGCACTTCTGTATGATAGGGAAGTGTAAACAAACTATTTTTGGAGAGGTGTCGATCTGTTGGTCCGTCTGTCTGTGTGTGCACGCGTATATCTCAAGTTCGGCTAAACTAATTTTGATGAAATTTTATATGAAAGTTTATTTCTACTTAGTATGTTCTACTATATCTACGGAAAGGATTGATGGAATTTCTTGAAATTTAGAGTCTGATCGCCTATCTCGCTATTTTTCTTGGAAAGTGAGAAGAAAGTGAGTCATGCTCATGTATCATATACTTGTATAATGTAATTTTCGAGTGAGAAGAATTATTTCAATTGCGTATTTCGTTTTTTCACTTTGTTTTTGAAATTGAAAAATTCAGTCGATAATTTGAGAAAAAATGGAAAAATCCAATTAAAAAATGAGTAATCTTATTGGAAAATTAAAACATCCATTAGAAAATACTTATAATTTTGATTTGAAAGTGAATAAAAAGTGAGTAAAAAAACAAGATACACGATCAGGCCGTTAATATTTAAGTTCTGCTTGTTACGACGGAAGTTACTAACGAACTTTTCGTATAATTCGGACGGCATAAAACGAAACTCTGCATATAGCCAAATTCACATTTTTCTATAGGCATGTTAACTAAAAGTTTATTAGTGTTCTTAAAAATAAAGAAGTATTTAAAACGCATTTTCATAATCTTTTGGAATACTTTCACTAATCTAGACAATATACATTGTGGTCGGTTATGTGCTGATCACATCAGATTCGTTAAATGATTAAATTTTAATAATTTATTTATAGTGTAGCTTTGGTTATCGAATAAAATGAAATGTATAAAATTTAATGGCTTTCTAATTTATAAATGGTTATTGACTACTTATTTACAAATTTAACATGGCGCCAATGTGTTAATGGAACATAGTTTTACATATAGTTGACTTCATTTTAAAAGATTATAATTGCATTTAATATATGTATACTACTTACGTGCCTTAACTCAATTTTTGCGTTACGAGTTGTAAGAATCGCAAGTTAACTTTCTATAATGCTGGATGTAATTGTGCGTGTAATTTTGATTTGAAAAGATTTTGCAATTAAAAAATTATTTAATAGTGTTTTTATTAACATTTGATTGCTTCTCATTTGAACTGAAGATATTATCCTTGGGATTTACATAATTTTCAACATGTATGGCTGTATTCGTTAAGCAGGAACGTTGAACTGCATCACGTCATATTCCTGTAATATTTGATCTTTTAAAATTTGCAAGAATGTTCATATACTGACTGCAAGAAATTATTCGTACTTTGCAACTTTGCATTTTCATGTAATGTAATTGAATATTTAATACAAGACTTTATTCTTATTTGTTGATTAAGTTGAATTTAAAACAACTTGAATTAAAATTGTGAGCTCTTCCATATTCGATATGTAAATTAAACACGTGTAGTGTTTAATTTAATGTAAATTTAGTGTAAATGTATAGTTTTCTTTTATATTTAGTACATATTCTTTGAACTGATATCCTCCATGACCTTCATGGCCCCAATTGAAATATGCTTTTGTATAGCCACTTAATATACGTGTATAACAATATATATCCTTTCAGAAACAAATCTTATATAATATAAGATTTTAGTAATTGTATGTAAGGTAACTAAAAGTATATAAAATTCAAGTATTTTAGCAAAAAAGGAAAATGTAAGAATTTATACGTAAGAATCCTTTTATACAATTTTTAGATTCTATTATCATTATCAAAATCACATAACATATTGCATACTAATCAGATTTCTAAATTTTGCGTCTATAAATAAGTATGTATAAAGTATGTTGTACTAGGTATACCTAGT